TTTAAAATGTGGTGTCTATTTTAATTATGTACGATAGAATAATATATTTCAATATTTTTGAAATTTTTAGAGGATTCTGCTAAGTTTAGTGATTATTAGAAGATGATTAGAGGATTACTAATTGTAATATTTTGTAATATAAGACCTAAAATCCTCAATGATTCTTACGAGCACAAAATATAATAATCTTTCGTAAAATATAATAATCTTTGAACCCAGCTCAAAAGTATAATATTAAAAAATATTAATTTTCTCAATTTATATTTAACGAATTTACCCTCATTTTCTTATTATGAAAGACTCGTTAAATTAGAAAGATTTATAATAGAAAAAATACTTAGTTTTATAAATTATTAAAATTATACTCTTATTAATTATTATAATATATAAAATAAATGTTATTAGGGTAGGGTTACACATTTTCTTTTAATGAATTTAAAAATTAATTTAAAAATCTTTTTTATAATAATCTTTAATTTAAATAACTACATAATATACCATATACCATTATAATTATTATACAAACGATATTAAAAATAATTATCCTTAAAATTTTAGAAAATTTGTTCAATTAAAAAAAAATTTTTTTTTCTCTTACAATTATTTCTTCTCTTCCTTTTAATTAAATGTTAAAGTATTAGAATATGTTATAATTATTGTGCGTTTGTTACTCACTCACATATGTGTGTTTGTGTGTGTGTGTGAGATTTACTTGAATGACAATGTGAATAATATCATGTATGTACGTGATTTCTTTTAATTATTTTTTCATGTCATCAACCAAAAAAAAAAATTCAAAATTATATGATTGAAAAATTAATTATAAAACTTTAGAATTAATTAAAACTTTAACATTTTTCTCATTAATTTTTCAATATTTAATAAAAAAGAAATTTTAGAAAGAAAATAATTGTAAGGAAATTCAATTTATTCATCTAGTATAATATTGGAATTATTTTGGGATTGATATTAAATTAGGAAAATTAGGAAAATTTAGGATTTTATAATTTTAATGTTATCTTGATAATTTATTTATTAATAATAAATAAAATTTTGTGCTCGAATTTTAATCAAATAAACTAAACAAATACAATTAAATAATTGGAATATTCTTCGGAACAATATTTTGATAAAATTTTTAATTTCCATATTGAAATTTGTTTCAAATTTAAACTAAAACACGCTGATTTCTACATAAACCTCATAGTTTGTTTTGAAAAACACTTTATATAACTTTTGAACTTTCTCAAAATTTCACTTTGTATCGGTACCTGAAAGTTATAAATCCCATTTTTGATAATTTTTATTTATCAACGCCTCCACGGTTACTTGATAGTTTACTTTTTGAAGGCAGATATAAAACGAGACTGGGATCTTTTATTACAGCTTGATAAGAATTTATTCTTTTTCTTTAATTATGATTTTGTTGAATGTATTCTGGTTCCAGTCATTTAAGATTCCAATTCAATTTATTCCAGTCCAGTTTTAATTTATTCTGTAAATACTTCAATGTCTTTTAAATATTTTTGAATTCTTTCATTATGATGGTGAATTCAATTCATTTCCTTTAGATATTAGAATGTCCCCAACTATATTTAAAATTTTAGGTCTAATTTTGGTTACTACAAGTATACGTACTACAAGTATACTCAAGTTTTATGAATTCGTTTATCACCTTGAATTTTTGTATATTTTATAATTGCAAGTCTATTTTCAGAATCTTTGTGTTTATATATATTACTTACTAGTATAATAGTTTAAGTTGATGAAAATAAAGTTTAATTATTATTATTTTTAATTTACGATATAAAAGTATCTTTTAACTTAACTAGCATGAAAAGAAGTTCAATGGCATAAAATTTCGAAATTTAAGATTTTTAAGGTAATCATAAGAATGTTTATGGAAACAGAAAGCAGTTATATCCAATTTTTTTAGTTGTTAGCTTCCCGTAAATCACATTTATTATAATTTGAAATTAATAATCCATACCCTCTGAAATTAATCATATAAAATGATAATCTATAAATATTTTCTTAAATTTTATATAAAATATTTTTCAAAATTAAAATCAAGTAAAATATTTGTGTTCACTTTACTTCCAATAATCAATTTATTGCTATTACTTAATAAGCAATTCATCAATTCAAGAAAGACTTTAATATAGGATAAATTATATTTTTTTTTTTAAAATCTCTTCATTTCGAAAAATAAAAATAAAAATTAACTATAAAATAAGGAGTTTAATATTTTAATATATGATTATGTTATACAGATAAAGACATCAAGGATATAATGATCCTCTTAAATAAATTAAAATGCAAATTATATTCAAAATCGATTTTATTTCGATATCATATACTATTCAATATACTAAAGTAATACTTGAGTAAGTATACACCAGATATCCTTCTCATTTACAATTTTTTTTCCCGAAAACTTATTTTGGTGTTCATTTAGACAACCCTCGAATACAATATTTTTATTGTTATAGCCAAAATTAAATATACGGTCATTTTATTTAAATCCAAATAAATAATATCCTCCTTTTCGATTCTTTAATCATTGTGCCCTTTATTTTTGTTTTCCTTCCCCATTCTTTTGTAATATCCTTATATTTCAAGTATGGTGTTACTATATTACAATATAGTTTAAGGTATATATATTTATAATATTATAATACAACTTTAGAATTTTTTAAATAATCAATTAGAATACTAAAATACTTAAATATTGAAAATCCTCTTAAAAATATATTATTTTGCAAGACTTCTCAATTATAAATTGATCCCAAACATAAAAAAACAGGAAAACAAAAAAGGTTCAAAAGGATAAAATGAATATAAAATAAAAAATAAACTTAGTATAATCTATAAGAGAATAAAAAAAAAAAAAAAACGAAACAAAAAATTCTTAAAATTCTTCAGGATATTATAACAGTAAAACAATAGAAATTTTGTAATAATAGAGTGAAATAACATGGAAAAGAAAAAATAGAAAAAGAAGACAGAAATAATGTGAAAAACACAATATATACAAAAAAAAAAAAAAACTAGAAATGTATGTGTGTGTACAAATGAAGTGGAAGAAATAAAAGTGTAAAATTTTATTACCATTATAGAAAAAGAAATAAGTAATAACAAAATAATAATGGGAAAGAAAATACTTAAGGACAGTGACAGTATCAAAACACAATAGAAAAAATAATGTTATATACAGTATAACAAATAACGGAAAAAAAAATATTAAGGAAAATAAAAATTCATCTACTAAATTGATCTTTTCAAATTACATGACCGTATACAACTATATTATATTGCATATAAATATAAAATACATACACGTATACACAATATGAATCGTACATTGTCCCGATTCTATATTAAGGGAAAAAAAACAGTAGTTTATTGTTTTAAAAGTGGAAAATAAAAAATCTCATAAATGATTGGATATTGAATGATATTGAACTGTCCAATATTAAGGTATTGCTTTGTATGGAAATAAATCTGTATATCAAAAGAGTTGCATCCCCATTTTCATCCATTTCAAATGTGAACTAGATGTCATTTTGTAAATACGCTATTACAAAAACGTAGTCAGCACCAAACATTCTTAATTGACTGCCTTTTCTATTTTTGAAATAAATACGTAAATTTCATTCTTGAATTCAAACTGGTTTCCTTCCTCGCATCGTTTGGTCATTTTGTAACAATTCCTGACTTTGTATGTCTTGCTTCATTAATTCGTGCAGCTAACCAATATTACAAATTTCCCAAAAATTCGTTTACCGAGACATTTTCCATTAAGCTTTTAATTCGAATGAAACTATCATATTTGACCATATTCTATTGTTAAATTTTTCTTCTTTCTAATAAAATTTTTCTTGATATTAGTAAATGTCTCCGAAGTTTATTTCCAACTTTTCAAATTTGCTGCCAAGTTACTTTTCGATTTTGTATACGTATCAACCGGAGATTGTAATTTGCATTTTCAATAATAAATATTTTATCATTTTTTTACATAATCCGTGAACTTTAAAATATTGGTCATAAATTGCGAGTATTAACTATTTTTTAATAAGAATTTATTTAAAATTTCCCTTTAAAGTGTAAGAAAATTTTAAAAATTTTTCATTGCCTTTGAAATTTAATCAACAAATGAAAAATAGGAAGGATATTCCAGGTTTTCCTAAAAATATGCAATTTGCAAAAATTGCATAACCATCGCTTTATAAAAAAAATGAATAAAACGTTCCCTTCCTGAGTCAGAATTAAAAATTTATGTTAAAAGAAATTTGTATAGGAAATTAATATGTTTTATATAAAAATTATGTTTTATAAATACAATATTTTATGCCCTATTTGTTATATTTATTCAAACTATATTTTAATACAGTCGAATCTGCGTAACACGAACCACCATCATACAATAAAATTAGTTCATTTCAGTGATGATCTATCCTTGATGGTTTAAGGGTTAAGAAAAGAAAATTTAATATGGTACAAAATGAAAAAAAAAACTGTTTCTATAATGAATGAAAAGCTCGTCTTCCTGGAGTTTGTACTATAAATGTTCGTCTGTAACATAATTATTAATAAATATTCAATTTCCACAATATGAATTTTGAGGTTAACTACAATTTTTTAAATATGCTGTACCTAAAACAAGTTCAAATATATAATTGGACCTAATATAAATAATGACCTTAAAATCGTTCTATAACATTCTTATTCTCTAATTGATTCTGTTATATACTTATACCAACCGGTAAAATTTTATAATTATAAAAAAAAAATTTAATATAATATTATTAGAGATTGAGATTTTGTAACATAACCTTATAGAATATATATAAAATCACTGAAGGACATTAAGGATTACTTTTTAACGATCTTATAATTTTATTGTGATTTTTTTCTTTTTTATATTTTTTAAATTTCATTTCTTATTCTTTTTTATTAAATTTTTTCTCTGTTTTTTTTTTTTCATTTGCAGGAAAAAAAAATATTTTAGAGCATCTGAGTACCTTATTATACATGAAGTACCTATATATGCGGATATAAGTGGAATACGTTCAACAATAATATTATATTTTTCTCCTTCTATATTATTATACTTTGAATGTTTATACTTACAAATGTGTATATGTGCAATAATAACAATATTAAATTTTACTCTTGAATACGACGGCGAGCACATGTAATCTATTCGTTTTTAAATCGTTTATTTTTTTTTTTTTATTATTATTTTTTTATTTTATTCTCTTTTTTGTGCTCTCTTGTTTTTTTCTTTTGCTTCAAATTTAATAACCATTATACATGTGTGTAATTTAAAAAAAAAATAAATTAGAAAATAAAAAATTGTAATAACTATTTTATAATAATAGTAATAAAAGAGAGAGAGAATAAAAAAAAGAGAGAAAAACTTAATATATAAAATTGGTGATTTAGTGAAATTATATACTGTTATACTGGTGTACGGTACGATAGAAATATGTGTAATAAATAATTGAATGGTATATACAGAAATAAATATATATTATTAAAAAAATATAACAATAATAAAAATATCTAAATAGCACAAATAATATGAGTTTCAAATATAATTTTAAAATATACAAGATAATTGAATAGTGAATTAAATTTTATGTGTATAATATAAAATATATGTATGAAAATCGAATAATATTGTAAATAATATAAAATTCATTAACAAGACTAACGATATTTGAAGTTAAAATAAAATTTAGAGTCTGAAAACCAAAAAAAAAAAATAAATATAATAAAATAGAGTGAAATAAATTCGAAACAAAATTATTAAACAGCCGATTAAATTTAAAGTGAATAAAATAAATATTTAAATAACAAATAAATAAATCAACTTGTATAACAATATAAATTTTTAAAAAACCCTACATAATATCTACATTTTTTCGTATATATATAAATGGGTATACATAATATGCAATAAGCTTTAAAAAATAATATTAATTTTAAAAAAATAAAACCATAAAATATTGAATGAATTGATTACAAATCTAGGCGAAGCAACAAACAAAAAAAAAGGATACAATACAAAATTAAGGAAATGGATTGGAAAATAAATGAATTGATTTTTTGTTTTTTTCTTTTATTTGGTTATATATTAGAACCAATTAGTAGCGCTAGACAAAGTAAGTATATACAGATCTAATTAATTATATTTTTTCCATATATTCTTTTTTTAATATTTTATAATAAAATTTATTATTAAATATGTAAGTATCCCTGGCTTCCATATTGTTAAAAAAGAAAATGATTTCGCAGCAATGTTTCATGTTCCATATTGCATTTAAAAAGCTTTTGATCATGTAGTATATTTAAAAATTCAAAAAAGCAGAGAAATTTCCTAAGCTTTTTATAAATTTTGTTTAAGCTGTGCTCTACTGCCACTGAATGTAAAATTTAATAAAATCTTTCTGCTTGTTAACATTATTTTGGCAATCTATAGTAAAAAATCTTAAAAGCTAGGTTTAACGAGAAAAAAAATAGAGTTGACCTTGTCAACTCTGTGATACCCGTACGAATTTGTTATCATATGTGCGAGTAACTAATGTGCCATAACTAACTATGGGGCAGACTATGACTTTAAGTTGCCGTATTACCATATTAATTTATGCAAAATTTCACTGCTGTGTTTTCAAAATACTGTGTGTGGCAAACTGCTATTGAAGTTGTATGGCAGCTACCAGAAAGAGCCAAGCAATTTTAACAAATTTTATCAAGCACATCGGCCTTACTAATATACTCACTTGAGTGAAATCTCAATATCACAGCTTTTATAGTTTCTGAGATATAGCCAAATAACTTTTGAAGTTGTATGGCAGGTACCAGAAGGAGCCAAGTAATTTCGACGACTTTTACCAGATACATCGGCCCTACTAATAAATTCGTTTGTGTGAAATTTCAATACCATAGCTTTAATAGTTTCTGAAATATAGTCAAATAACTTTTGAAGTTGTATGGCAGGTACCAGAAGGAGCCAAGTAATTTCGACGACTTTTACCAGATACATCGGCCCTACTAATATATTCACTTGTGTGAAATCTCAATATCACAGCTTTTATAGTTTCTGAGATATAGCCAAATAACTTTTGAAGTTGTATGACAGGTGCCAGAAGGAGCCAAGTAATTTCAACGACTTTTCTGGGGCATATTGGCCCTACTAATATATTCGTTTGTGTGAAATTTCAATACCATAACTTTTATAGTTTCTGAGATATAGCCAAATAAATTTTGAAGTTGTATGGCAGCTACCCGAACCGGTACCCCGATCATGTCCAATTTAAATAGGGTTCTGGCACTTACTACAATAAATCATTTGTGAAAATTTGGTGAACTTAGCTCAATTAGTTTTTGAGTTATCGTTCGGACGGACGGACGGACGGACGGACGGACGGACGGACGGACGGACGGACGGACGGACGGACGGACGGACGGACGGACAGACAAAGCTAAATCAACTCAGAATTTGACGCTGATCAAAAACATACACTTGAGTCTATATCTAAGACCGTTATTTCTTAGCGTTACAAACGGTAAGGCAAATTTAGTATACCCTTCGAACATACGTTCGTACGGGTATAAAAATGGCTTAAAAATTTTGTTCTTTAACAATGTAGAACTTATCCTATATATTGTATATAAAATTTCTATTGTAATAGGCGAAAAAAAATTTTAATATCAACAATTATTAGATTAACCCTTAATCACTTACTAATGGACTAATAGTATTTTCTCATCAAAACGTGCCTAACATTTTGGCTTGTTTTTCAAAATTTAATTTTTTTTTGTTTAAAGCCAAAATTTCCTCAAAAAATAAATTGGATGGCACGAAATTTTCTCAACAAATAAATTTAAAAAATAATTTGTGAGACTAGCTATGTATTTTTGTGTTTCTTTTCAGCTGACTAGCTGATGTAAGGTGCTTTAATACAAAAATATTTTGTTAAAGTTTATTAAACTTACAATCAAATAATTAATTATGAAATTGATATAATTTCAAAAATAGACGACAAAATAATATTATTAGAAAATTAGAATTATCAATAAGTTCTAAATCGACATTTTAATAAAAGTTTATCAATGTCAAATTTTTTATTCATACATACATAATATTATTTTCAAATGGGAAGGGGGTTATCACTATATTAAAATCGTAAATTATTTAATAAAATAATAAGTCGCATGATATTGTACACATGCCTTTGACTGTGATAGAATTTATTTTTGAGTCTTTAAAATTTATTATGAGTTAGAAATGAATCATATTCAGATAATACAGAAAATTGTAAACTTATATTTTATACACACATTTACATTTGAAATCTTCAAAATTTTCTGTAATGCTATATATTTTGTTGCTATAGACAATATAAAACACTGATTATTTAAAATATGAATAAGAATTATATTGAAATTAGAGGTGAATAATCGGTATTAGGCCAAGTTCATATAAAAAATCTTGAATTTTGAGAACTTTTCAGATGAAATTGCTTGTTATATTTTATTATAATGTTACAAGTACATATATTAAATTATGACATTGACATTAAATACCAAATTTATAATAGGCATGGATTTTATCAAAAAAAATTTGCGGAAAGCAAATTTGATTACATTAACTTCAAACTTTAAAATTCAATGCTCAATCTGGAGGGAGTTTTGAAAATTTTGATAATTTTTTATTTATTTATTCATTGCCAGGTTTTATACCTCCAGGTTTATCGATTTTTTTGTTTCTTTAAAGGTTAAGGATTTTGTTTCGATTAATTTAAATTTAAAGGAAAATGGAAAGAAAAAAAAATTTTTGAAAATTTTAAAATGAAATACTTTAAAATATGAACTTATACTCTACATTCTTACATATATAAAAAACCTACAAAAAATTATTGAACAAAATTTCTAAAAATCTTCTATTTATTAATTAAAACCCTTTTTATTTTGCAATTCTATTCTACTAACTCTCTTTTTAATGGATTTATAGAATTGAAACACGACTTCTAGAAGGTAGGCGAAAATTTGCTCGAAATTGGTTTATGCGGCTCGACCAATTTCGTGTAATTTCCCAGTCCGTAATTTTCTAGTAACAAAATGGTTTACCTTGTATTAATTTCAAAATTTTATTCTGCTTAGTAACATTAAATTAAAATAATTTTAAAGTAATATTAAATTGGTTTTTGCAGCTGAACTCCATACTGTAAAACCATACTTAAGAATCCCTGAAAATAATTTTCTTTTGATTTTTAAGAATTTTGACTGCTGCTCAAAATTTGTTAGAAGATAGAGAATAAATTGAAAAGTTACCATTTCTATTTAAATTCATCAAGTTATATATCCTATAGTTGTTACCAAAAATTAAAAAGAAAAATTGCAAATGAAAATATTTTGTAAAAGCTGCAATATTATGAATTACACGACAACATTTAAGTATGTGCTTATCCATAGTCTAGAATATAAAAATAATTATAATTTTAAATAACTATAATAAAAATTTTTTTGAAATAAAATTCTTTTTTTGTGTTACACAATACTCTTATAAAAAATTACTTTTTGTTTTTTTTTTTTTATTTTATTTTAAAAATAAATTAGATCCTTTAAAAGATCCAAAAATATGTGGAAGACCAATATGTGATTTAGATACAGATAAATTTCATTGGAATAATAAAATACGTTATAAATATGATTATATGGTACATATACGTACTGAATTTAGTGGTAGCGGTGATAATACATCAGATTTATATTTAAAAAGTAAAATAAATTTAATATTTCCAACAAAATGTGAAGGTATTTTAACAATAACAAATGTTGAATTACGTGAAATATCAACAATATCATTAAATAATAATAATGATAATAATAATAATGATGATGATGAAACACCAGTATATGATTATAATAATTATGATTATGGTGAACAAATAATACCAGATACAACAATAGATTCAAATTTAAATAAAAATTTAGATACAACATTACATAATAAAAGTTTTGATTTAGCAAATTCATTAGAAAAATATGATTTAAAATTTTCATTTCATGATGGTTTAATTAGTGAAGTATGCCCAGATCAATATGAACCAATATGGGTATTAAATTTTAAAAAAGGTATTATAAGTCAATTACAAAATACAATGTTACGTTTTGATGTTGATTTAAATACAACTGAAACTGATATATCTGGTATATGTAATGTTGCATATAGTTTAGAAGGTGCTGATGGTACAAATGTATTAATTAAAAAAATTAAAAATATTGATTCATGTCGTAATCGTATTAAAATGCAATCAATATTACAAACAACACCATATCATTTTCGTGATGATAAAGTTATATGGCCTATATTAAATTCAAATAGTTATTGTAATGTAAGTATATTTTATCTATATAATATTATATATACGAACATATTTATAATATTAAATAAATTTTTGAAATTTTAATTAACAATATACTAAAAGATTCTCTTTGTGCTATTTAAAAATAATCATCTTCTTCTTAAAAATTTTATCCTGGCCTCATTATTTTCTATTATTTGTAAAATGAGAGAAAAAAGTGCTCTTGTGTATGCAACAAGAAAATTCAAATTAAGCTTAATTATTATGTTAAATGAGAGAGAACTTCTGAGAATATCCTTTAATATTCCATAAATTATTTGATTTAATAAATTCACTTTAAATTCTTAGTAATTCCGAGTCGCTATGATATTTGATGATTCACTTCATTTTACTAATTGCGTAAATTCTAATATTGTTATATCTAATATTAGCGATTAAATAATTTGTAAATATACTAAAAATTTTAAAGGCAAATTTTACGAATACCAATCAATTAAAATCATCACCATCTGAGTATATCTATCGGAATATTAAATGGAAAGTGCAATTTTTTATGAAATTCCCACAAAAAAATTAAAGATCTTATTTGTGGAAAATATTTATTTTTTTTTAAAAGGTACTCGTAAATGAAATCAAACTCGTATTTAATACTAAATATGCATTTCTTTTGAATTATTTTTTAAATAGCCTTTGTATGCAATTGTATGCAATTGTCCTTTGCTCAAAAATGTAAAAGCGCAAACTATTAGAGAATAGATTCATATAGTTTAATTATTAATAAGCCCAATGTTATTTCGAGAATATCTAACTTTTAGTATTAAAATTTGAGATTATTTAAAGGATTGGAAATTAATTATCATACCTTGCTTTTGAAATTTTATGATTGAAAAATTATTTTAAATATTTAAATAAATTGAAATTTAAAATAGGTAATAGATTTATACTTCAAAAATGTTATATTTTTCTTATATACACAAAGAGAAATTAAAAATTATTTAATAGTAGGAAAAGAATCTGCTAGGGAATTGAAATTTGAAGAATTCATAATCTTACTTCATTTTCTTGTCTGTCATCTATTTTAATTTTGCGAATTATTCTTCAGATTACTGTTGATCATAATATATATCAGCAAGTCAACTGTCATGAAAAACATCAACTAATACCATTTTCACATAATACAAGCGGTGCCGTTACTGAAACTTATACGAGATTAATTTTGGAGAAAGAAGAAACAATTAAAGCGGACAGTTATGATCCATACAAGGATGATGGTAAATTGAGGAAGAAAATTAATACATTAAAAATTTTTTTTTCACATCTGCTTTAAAAATTTCTTGTAGAAAACGTAATAAAAAGACGCTCCATGTTACTCTTTGATCATACCCCATCATTAAAACCAACACATGGTGAAATTAGAGCATCTCGTGATTTGCTGAAGAAAATTTGTGATCTTGGTTTTCCAAATATTCAGCGTGAATTCATTGAAACTTTTACGAAATTTTTGGAAACAACACGCCTTCTGTCATATAAAGCATTGCATCAACTACTTTTAAGATCAGTTAGTGTTTGCGAAAGTGGTAATGGAAGGTATGATTATTGTGGTCTACGAAATCCATTCTTATAGAACCTTTATATTTTTATTATTTTGTTTGTTTTTTTGATTTTAGAAACCATGTTCTAGAAAGTCTTCCATATATTGGAAGTACTGCATCTTACCAATTAATGAGAGATGAAATTATTGGTGAAACTGTACCAAAAGAAACAGCACAAAGTTGGATGACTTCAATGTCATTTTTATTGAGACCCGATGAAGAAACTTTAGAAACATTTTATACTTTACTTGAGTATGGTAAAAAGAAAATTAATCCTGAATATACATTAGGTGCTTCAGCTGTTGTACATACATTTTGTCGTCATAATAGTGATTGTAATAAAAATGAAAAAGTATTGAAAATTGTACGGAAATTGGAAGAAGAGTTTTCAGAATTATTACAATCAGATTTAAATGAGAGACGGGTACATGAGCGAATAACAATTTTATTGAAAGCAATCGGTAATATTGGTGTTATGACAGAAGATTTTGAAAATAAATTGAAAAGTTTAATTCTTATGGAGGATAATTTAACAACTGAAACACGTCTGGAAATTGTATTAGCATTTAGAAAATTCGATTGTAATAAGAATAAAGATTTCTTCTTAGATATCTATAGAAATTTTATGCTTAATTCAGAAATAAGAATTTTAAGTTATCTACAAGTGATGAGATGTCCCGATTATTTATCAATAAATGAAATTAAAAGAGTACTTGAAACAGAAGAAATTAATCAAGTTGGTTCATTTGTTTGGTCGCATCTAAAAAATATTGCAAAATCAGCATCACCTGTTCGAGTTGAAGCACAAGGTTTATTAGCTGACGACGACTTGGGAAACAAATTCAGAATGGATATCAGAAAATTTTCAAGAAATTACGAATATAGTTTGTTTTTTGATGAATATAATTTTGGTAAGTTCAAATTAACAAAAGTATTTTGAATTTGGAAAATTTTAAAATTATTGCTTTTTTTGGTTTGTTTCACTAAACAGGTGCCGAAGCTGAATCGAATATAATTTTTGGTACCGATTCTTATCTTCCGAGGATAGTAAATTTGAATTTCACAGCTGATCTCTTTGGTGAATCGGTAAATTTCTTTGAAATCACCGGGCGAGCACAAGGTTTTGAACAATTCATTGTATCTATATTTGGACCAAAAGGGCCACTGAATTCTGAAGTTGTTCGTAATAAATTCAAATTTTTGAATCGATTTATGGGTGATGATAGCTCTGAAAATTCTAATGGTAAACTATTTTTTTAAATTTTTTCTAGGACAAGTTATTGATCTAGTATTTTACAGAGGATTTCTTGGATTTTGAAAAGTTACGTTTGAAGCGAACACCCATGCAAAATGAAGAAGATGAAAATTATAATTTTGAAAATGACGATAACGATAAAGATCCTGAGAAAGTGAAAACTCATGATCGTGAAATACATAAAGAAGTTGATCAATTGGGTTATAAATTAAAGTACGATCATGGACATCCGAGAGCAACATTGGGTCTTAGGGTATTTGGTAATGACTTACGTTACATATCAGTTGATGGAATGAATGAAGTTATGGGATTAGCACAAAAATTGAATCCATTTTTAATAGCTGCTAAAATATTATCTGGTCGTGAAATAACATATTCTCAATCGGGTATATTTTTGGATGCATCATATAATGTACCATTAGCTGTAGGCTTGCCATTAGGCATTAAAGCATTTGGTGCTTCATCGGTTGATTTGAGAATGTCTGGGAATTTGAAACGATATGAAAATGAAGGTGATTGGAATTTTGATATTCAAGGTAAAATTAAACCAAGTGTTTCTGTTGATGTATTAACAACAATGGAATCAGATTTTTACTATGCTGTATCTGGTATTAGAGTCAAATCAAATTTATATTCAAGTTCGCATTTAGAAACAAATGTTAAGGTTCGTGGATCCAAACTTGTATCTGTATCATTTAGTCTGCCCCAAGATAAAAATGAGATATTTAGCGCAAAATCAGATTTAATTGTATTTAAATATGGTGAAGAATTACAACAATCTGGAATTGAAAGGCGTTCATCTAATACAACATGCACGTGGCCAATATTGGATAGTGCTTTAGGTTTAAAAGTATGTTCGCATTATAGTCTACCAGATTTGAGTAATGCTACTGATGTAACATATCCTGGGTTATTATTAAGTGGACCAACAAATATTCGTATGTACTTGGAAAAGACTGATTTAAGTATTAAGAAATTTGTATTAGAGTATCGGTGGGATCAAGTTCAAGAAACCACTACTGGTTCGTTATTATTCTATACACCAAAATCAGTAGTTACAAGAATACTAACCGCTAATATTACAAAAACACCAAATGCTTTGAATGGATCTCTATCATTTGTATTAGGTGATAATTCATATTCGGCTGTGGGTCATTATAAAAATGATCCTGTTGACCAACGATTTGAATTTTTTGTTGAAAGTAATGGACAAAAAAATTTGGCACTTTATGCGAATATGAATCGAACAGAAATACGAAATGGCTACTTATATTTGCCAGAATTTAAGTTATATGTCAATGAAGCTATTATTGCTGGTTTGTCAGGTACATTGAAAATTAGTGGGAAAAATGGTATAAAACAGAGCGAAATTGATGTGTTATTTGAAACAAGAAAATTACAAGCACGTTTATATGGATATGTGACAGAGAGTGAAATTAAAACATCTACCAAACTTAGATTAGATTACAGGGTAAGTTCATATTCTATTTACATTATTACTACTTGAAATAAAATTCACAAATTTTGTATTTTTTGTTAAAGTTTGAGGAAAATGAGAAAGAAAAAATCGAATTTGAATCAGTGTTGGAAAATCGCAGTAAAAAATCTAGAACTGATTATAAGGGCAACGTTAAACTGGTAACATCGGCATACCCCAAATTGAATTTTGCTGGTAGTCTATTTTGGTTATCTGTCTTAGCACATACTGAATGCAGGCTAACTTATAATAACGCACCAGATTTAATAGATAAATCTTACAATACTGATTTAAGATTAGTGTTCATAAAAACTGAGCCAGATGTTTATGCTGAACGACTTGGGAAAACTATGACACTGGCCAAATTTGAAATTTCGAGATTAAAGGCTAATATCGATTTTGGTTGTGGAATTAAGTAGGTTATTAATTTTGTTTAGAGTTTTGAAAAATTTGCGATTTATTAAAAAACTATGTTTATTAATAAAGGTATGAAGAAATCGAAAAAAATGGAACTGCTCATGCAATCAGTACTGGATTGCGTTATGCTCCAGGTAAAGAAGTGACTGGAAACTTCTTAATTCATTTCCCGAGGAGAAATTTGTTTGCGATAAATACGTTTGTAAATATTACTGTACCTGATTTCGATTCAGCAACTATGCAATTAGGAATAAATGAAGTTAGAGTAAAAGACTATAAGGTAAGCACTTCTAACATTTTTTTGCAAAGAAGCTAAAATTCAAGTAGCATACATCCATGTTAATAGTTTGATTTCGCTGGAACTTGGTTTACAAATCATTCAATCTCTATTGATGGAAATTTCAAAGACAATAGTACACGGAGTCATGTAATTAAATTCCTAAAAGTTGTTGTACGCAGCCCATCTTTTGAAGAAATAACAGCTGATGTTGTTTATAGAAGAAGTGCACTTGAAATGTTTGTAAATGTACGTGGAACTTATAATAAAGATCCTTATGGTATAATGATAAAATATACCGGATTAAATAGTGGTCAAAGAAATACATATTTGGAATTCAAAAGACGCGAGGAAATATATTGGTTATCAGCTAAATTACTGAAAGATGTTAATAAATTGTTACAGATTGATATACATTGGGACAAGTAAGCCTAAAATTATAATTTTATATAAATTATTATAGAATCTATATTTTGCTTATTTATTTGCTTATTAATGCTAGGGCCCGTGATATAAATGTTAATGTTCGAGCAGTTTCATTACCTTTACGAAAAGAACTTTCTGTAGAATTAAAATGGGACGCAAATAGAGACCCAAGTCAAAGACTTGCCATCCAAGCACAATATAATAATCCACGTTATAGAAAATATGATGCAAATTTTATGTTAACATATCCTGAGAAGACGCTTAGTTGTGGTTTTGATGTTTATACTGGCGGTCCGAACTATTATGGTCAAGGGCGTGTTAGCTGGAATGCTGACGAAGCAATAATTGTAAACTATGATGCTGGTTTTATACCAAAGCCCGATGGTTCGGAATATAATAGTTGGGGAAAAATTGAAATAAATACACCGTTTGACGGATGGCGTCGTAATCATGGTAAATGTGGACTATATATTGCTAATAATTTAATATTGGCTAATAGTTCGATGCTGTGGGCTGATAACCAAGATATAAATGTAATATATAAAAGTAATTATGTAGCTGATGACAACGAAATGAAAGCTGAAATAAATTTTGCAGTTAACAGTACCATATCTGATGTACCTACAATGAGTTCCCATTTCAGGCATAGTCAAACAATTAAAAGAGTTTATACTGATGCAGATTTTAGGTATAAAACATCAAGTAGTAATGATTTGCAAGTTTACAGCATAAAATCGGACTGGGATTTTGATCAAAAAGATAATTATAAAAATATAACTGGTAAGTATGCAAAGTGATAACGATTTCTTTCAATACATTCGTGAGGTACATCCTTGATTCTTTAATATATCCTTAAAATAAATTTATTTTATTTCCAAAACAGGAAAAGTTAGTTTAAGAAGTCCTTTTGAAGGATATCAGACTGGTAATTTAAATTTAAAAATGAGTATCAATGATATACGCAAAATTCAAGCAGCTGCATCATTAAAATTTGAAGATAAAAGGTTTACTTTAGTCTTAGATGGCTATATAAAAAAATTCAATGACAATATGTTACAAGTTAATATAACAACACCATTACCAAAATTTCCAACAATAACGGGACGTTTTGGTTTTATTGAAAGAAATCGTCATGCAGTTACAATGTTAACATCACCTGGTGGTTCAATGGGAGCTGAAATAATGTTGGCAATTGATTCAATTGCTGATTTTGATATACAGTTCAATTTAGCGACACCAATAGAATCGTTCCAAAGAGTATTATTAGTAGCAAAATTAAAGCCAGATACTATGGACTATCGTGGTGGTTTAAATGAAGTTACTCTTGGTTTTACTGGAATTTGGCGTTATGTGAATACTACTGACATGGAGTATTCATACAGGGTATTTACACCATTAAAAAAATTTGAAGAAAGTGGTTTAGTCTTTAAATATTTGATGTCAAGTGAAGAATTTTTATTAAACGCTTACGGGAGATTTTCAACATACAAATTGGGAGTACTTTTGAATGGTAAACCTTTTCCACGACTAATAACTGAATTAGATACAAAAGCATTTGATGTACAGTTAACGAATGATCCAGAATTTCAAATAGCCCGACCAGATTATATAGACGAAGAGGAAGAGAGCGATGACGACGATGCTGAAGAATTGTTTAGCTACATTGGTAAAATTGAATTAGATACATTACTTTTCCCAACCATCAAAGGAATGATAGATATACAAGAAAATAGTGATTATTATTTTGTTCTCGGAAATCTTGATATACCACAGGGAAGAATAAGTTTCCAAGATAATGTTTTTTATCCAGATTATTTTCATGTTGAAAATGTATTGAAAATGAGTACGCCTTTTGAAAAATTCAAAGACATCAAAGCAAAGTTTGAATATGAAATTCAATATCAAAAATCATACGTATTTGGTTTGAAAGTTGCCAATAAAAGTCCAAATGATACCACAAAAGTTGGATATTTTGTTAATTATACAATTTTGAATGAACAAGACATTAGAACACGAGAAGTAGGTTTAACTATATATACACCTTTTGAACATTTTCAAAAAGTTGATTTAATGGGCTCACTTGAAATGGAAGACTATGCATATAAAGCTAACATTACAACTAGAACAAATGAAACAACCTTGTCATTAGCTGGCACATTAGAATACGATGAAGATAACTATATGGATATAACACTTGGTTTAGATCTTGATACAAAAGAGGTACCGAATTACGGTTGTTGGTTTCATGTTAAAAAAGATTTAAGTGGTAATGAGCACTCAATTGAATTTGCTTTTGATGTGCGTGAAAATTCTATTCCTAAAAATTTCAAATTTTTGACATTGTGGAAAGTGAATGGAACACATTTTGTTGATGGGCGTTGCCGTATCCAAACAAATATATTGCCTTTAAAAATAGCCGACTCATCAGTATTTATAACACGCAATCCAAATCCAATATTAAATTTTGATCTGAAACTTATTGATAGATATGGTAATAAAACAGAATACAAAGCAAGAGCCGACCGTAAGCGTAATGTTGTAAATATCGATTTAAATACACCTATAAAAAATTTTGAAAATATATCAATGTATGGTTTACTAACAAAAGCTAAAATGCCGAATGATTATACATTTAGTGGGAATTTATCAAGGAATTCAGAAATTTCCGATATTGATGGAACTGTATCATTTTTATCTGATTTTCCAGTTAAAGTTTATTTAAATAACAGACCAAAAGTTGGACCACCGGGTGTTATTGAATTTGAATTGAAAAGTATTAGTGAAAATTATGCACAAACATTCCGTTTTAATTCAATTGAAAATGGTAAAATGTGTCAGATATCGGGTGGTTACACCGTTTACAGTTTACTAAATTGGGAAGTTTCAGTTTTGGTACAATCAACACAACCAGAAATTTCTAGAATTGTTTTCAATACAAAAATTAAACCGAAATCTAAATCACACTTTGAAGGACGTTTTGATTTAGAAACACCTTGGCGTCATTTAGGTATTGAAACTGTTCGAGGTTTAACTAATGCTGAACTGACATCCGAAAGTGGCCGTGTCAAAACTGAATATGAAATTGAAAATTATAAAGGTAAAGGAGATTGTACATGGACATTTATAATGCTTGAAGATATGCAAATTGGTTTAGAAACCGAAATCGAACGTATTGATACACCAAGTGAACCAAAAATAATGACAGCCTATTTAATGTATATTAATCCGAACAGAAATTTTCAAAGATTATTATCTGGTGGAAAATTAAATGTACATTCAAAATGGATTTTAGATGTGAATGGTACAATAGCAGTTTCATCTGGTAAAGACATAAGATTAGGTTTAGCAGCAAATCTACCACAATTAATATCAAATGATACACATCGCTTTGGTATAAGATATCGTGGGAATTTACTTGAGCAGGCCGCTAATAATTTTAAAGAACCAATTGATGTTTTTGCTGAAGGAAAATATGAAGCAAATATAAAACAAACTAAATATTTAATAAAAGGAAATTTCCGTAATGTTGCTGATATTCAAGGTATGGGACATATTGAATGGGGTGCAATAAATCAATTCCAAGTAATTGATGGCGATTTCCAAATTTTATTAAAAGATAAATTGAGAAAAGAATTTTATGCAAAAGCAACAACACCATATTATCAAAATGAAGAAACATTCTATGTAACAGGACATTACGATAATGTTGATCTTTATCATTTGCTACAGTGAGTATACAGCTTTAACAAAACATTTATAAGGTATTACAAGATTTTATAATTTTTAATTGTTTTATTATGTAGATGTACATTAAAATCACCAGCATCTAAGAAATTATTTGAAACTGATATGGCTGTTTTAAGTGCAGTTAATATGAATGGCTTTGTTAATTCAACTATACCGTTCTTTAAATTAGATTGGTTACGTGGTGATTTTAATTTTACAACACATGGGTAAGTACACAAATATTGTATACAAATTATCAAATATCCTAGAACAGTCTCTCGTTTATTAATTTGTTCATTTAATTTAATTCCTTTCCAAGCTGTATAAAAAATTTAATTAAAATATGTAAACAAATTCTTCATAAAATTAAGATGAAGAGTAAAATGTTTTTCAACTTTTCAGAACAAGTTTTCGAAAAATTACTTTTCGAATTTTCTTTTTTTTGGCAAAGTTTGTGTGATTAATGAAAAATTTAAAGAAATTAGAGATTTTTTTTTTAATTTTTATATTTAACATATAGAAACTCTCAGCCACCATTCCATATTCCAATTTTTCCATTCCATATTCTGACTATATGTATGTACATTTTAGCTTCAGAATATTTCATGTGTGTCTAAGCGGAAGCGTGTAAAATTGATAAGAAAACAAACTTTTTCCAAACTTACTCCAAGTTTTACATTTCCTCTTTTCTAAATTTTCTTTTAAATAAAATTCTTTCTTCTTAATTAAAATAACTTTGCCGGAAATATTTTATTTTTTTCGTATGCATGAATTTTTTTATCCTTTTTATTTTGTCTCTACATTAATTCTTAATTTCACTAATGTCATTAAAATTTTTTCAAATTTTTTTATGAAAAAATTAAATTTGGTAAATTTCTTTTTTTTTTTTTTGTTTTTCCACAGTGGCAGCTCATATCGTTATATGAAAGGGACATGGCCAACAAATTCAGCATTCTTTAAATCAAATAGTGATTTCGTATCACATAATTTGGATCGAGATCTTTCCGGTACAATAACAATTGATGTACCATTAACATCAAGACATCATGCTGATATTGATTATAAACTAGAAGAGAGAGAATTAATTAAAACCGGACATGCTAATGTCGTATATAATGATCGAAAAGTATTACAAGGTAAATACAATTGTAATTCAGAGCAAAGATCTGGCTTCGAAAAGGATATTATCGACATAACATTAGAAAATGAATTTAAACCATTAGGAATACATTATATTCATTCGAAAGAATATAAAGATGCAGAATTCCCGGATTATGTAAGTTTATAAATTTTCAAAAGCATATATAAATATGTGTTTATTTATAATACACAAAAATAAATTTTATTTTCTTTTCGAATTTAAACAGGATATGAAACATGCTGAAGTTTTTGAATTAAGAAAAGAAGATAAATTCAATTTAACTGGTGAATTGCATATAAAAACAACTGATTCAGGACAAGAATATAAAATTGTTGCAATTCATCCGAATCGTACAGTTATATTGAGTTCAGAATATGATAATCAGGATACTATATCAAAACAAAAATCAAAATTACAACTTAGTCCAACAGCATGGATCGCATACAATGTTATGGTTGAGAATAATACAACGGTAAGTGTTTTGTTTTTTAACTATTAGAAAAGATAAATATAAAAATTTTGAATTCATAATAATTTTTAAATAAAAATCAATTTTAAAATCAAGCCTACAAAAGAAAGTCAAAAATTCTATGCTGAACTTTCATATCCGAAACGTACTCTATCAGCTGATGGAACCTATTTTAATACTGATGAAGAATTTGACTCAAATATAGCATTAAAATGGACAGCAAATAAAAAAAATAATCGTGATAAACCTGAACAAAAAGTTATTAAAACCGGTTTTAATTGGAGAAGTGAACCATTAACTGGAATCGATCGGGAACATCAAACAGCAATGTTAACAATTGGTCATCCATCATTTTCAAAAGATATGACATTAAAAGGTTTCTATTATCGTAGTCCAATTGAATTATTGAAATTTGGTTTAAAATTAGATTATTCAAATGATCCTCGTCATTTACTTAATGTAAATGGTGTTTTAAGAGATGAATCACAACAAAATTCTGGAATTTATAATTTTTCATATAAATTAGATGCAGAACATAATATATCAGATTTTATATTAAATGTTCATGGTATAGCATCAGCAAAACCAGCTTATTATTATACATTATCAAAAGGATTATATAAACGTAGTTATTTTCCTATTAAACATGGTTCAATCTTAAGTAAACTAGATATTGTGAAAAAGGAGATTGAATATGAAAGAAAATCACCATATAAAGCAGTACGTTTTTGGATGTTACCATATGCAAATTATCCAATTTATGGTTTAAATGGTACAATATGGGATACACCGGAGGTTAATAGTACCGGTTTTCTATATGTTAATTTATTAGATAAATTTACAAGAATGGAAATTAATATGACTGAAGATGCATCACAAAATATACAGATGATTGGATCTATACCAGATGCGAGAAATGCATATTTTGATCTATGGAGAAATTATGAAGAAATTCGTATTATTGATGTTTCATCATATATTAAAATGAATCATTCAAGATTAGTAACAGGACAATTTCATTGGAGACCTAAAATGAAATCAGAATTGAAAGAGAAAATGAAACAAATTGGTGATTCATTTTATGATTCATTCTCTGATGGTATTGATTTTTGGATTAAAACAATTTATCAAGAAAGTTCTGATGTATTAAATGATGTTTGGTATCATACTAAAGAGCAGACAAAAGGTTTTATGACTGATATTGGGTAAATATTAAAAAATTTTCATTTGAAATTTATATTTTGATTGTATAATTTTAGAAAATAGCTATTTTTAATTTTTGTTTTTTTTTTGTGGTTTTACAGCGAATTACAAGTTTTAGAAGATGATATTACTGACTTTAGAAGATTCGTTAATAGCTCTTACGAGGCAAATGATTTTTATGTGAAAACTTTAGTTAATTTTACATTAACTGTTCTAGATGAATTAGCTATAAGAGATCATATTGAATCATTACCAAAAATTGTAAGTGAATTTTGGCAAGTAATGGGTGAATCTGGAAAAGCTTTAAGAAAAAGCATTTTATGGTTATTTGAAACGGTAAGAATTAGTAAAATTTTACTAATTTTATTTTTATAATACGCATAAAAATCAAAAAGATCTTATTTTATTGTGAATGTGTAATTGTTTTTCCAAGGGTTCTTAGTCAAAGTCAAATTAACAACGAACCAAAATATATAAATTTAATGGAGAACAGAATTGATAATTTTTAAATTTATGCTTTATATTTCCAGGTTAAATCTGCTTACCATAAAGCTTTGGAAATTATAACAAAATTCTTACATGGTGAATCATTTAATCAGTTATCGAAATTAATGGAAGCTGGAATCGAAAAATATGATAAATTTATTAAAGACTTGCATATTTCCTTTATAAAATATGTTCAAAATATATGGGTTAAAGGAACAGCTGCAGCAACAACATATTGGAGAATAATGTTAAAGAAATTAGAACCACACATATTTAGATTTATTCACTATTTAGAATCTAGTTTGTGGAGTTTCAGTAAAGAAATGTTTGGTAAGCCTCAACAATATCAGCGTATTTACATTTTACTTTATTAATTAAATTTTTATATTATTGTAAATACAGACTTTATATACAATCGAACAAGTGAAATTGCTGAATCACCTTATTATAGTCAATTTTCAAGAATAACACAAGATATTGATCATTTATATCATGATATAGAAGATAATGATGCTATTACCAATTTTAAAAAATATTCTGCTATTGCATGGGAATTTATTAAAGAAAAATATTTTAAATTGGTACCATTTGGAAAAGAATTAAATGAAGTTATAACTGAATTAATACATGAATTAGAAAAATTAAAAGATTTGGCACACGTTAAATTGGCATTACAAAAACTTAATGAAATTAAAATGAAATTACAATGGATATCAGAAGAATTAGAATTAGAAAGAAGAATACATCAATTATGGCGTTTAATACGTAATAAATTGGGTAAATATACGATGACAGCATTACAAACTGATGATATGTATCGTGAAGCAAAAACATTATTTGTATTTGATCCTGAATCTGGTATAATTGATTTACAACAAAAATTACCAATGTCGTGGCATGCATTTAATGAAACACCAAAATTTGAAGAAATTCCCGAATATAAAATGATTAATGATATACAAAATTTCTTTGGTGGTTCAAATTTCTCAATAATTGGTACAATTTATTCAATACGTTCGAATTTAGAACCAAAAACATGGTTACCACCATATTCAGGTAATTTTCATTATATGTGCTTTAATTTTTTTCTTTTTAAATTGATGTGAAAAATGCAAAATGATTTTTATTTAATTTTACGAATTAAGAATGCTTATGGCATTTTATGAATTAGAAATTCTTCCGAGAAAAGAGTGAATTGTAATTTATATGAAAATTGCAAAATTAAACCTGACAGAAGATCTAAAATAATAATTGATTGCTGTATAGCAAGACAAAATAACTGGAATCCTGGACATTATTTGAAATTCTCAATAACTATTTTAATTCATAAAAGACATAAAGCCCGTATTTACAAGGCCATTTAATGAATTTTTTGCTTTACGAAATAATTTTTCAGAAAGCAATTAAGAATGTTTATTCGATGAAGAATTATTTACAAAATAAAATTTGTGTTGAGAAACATTTTTTTGGTATTGGTTACCATTCTAACATTTTGAAAACTCCCAAAATTCTAAAATTAAATAAACTAACTTTAATATATTTTTCTTCATTCGCAATTCATTTCAATGTATTTCTCAAATGCCAACAAATTTTTATATTTCTAGCACACTCTTTACTAATCGGATCAAGACATTATATGACTTTTGATAAGAAATTCATTGGTTTACAAAGTGTTAAATATGATATTTTGGATAGATCAAATAATCAAGATAAATGCTCATATTTGTTAGCACATGATTTCTTCCAAAATAATTTTACACTATTATTGGAACCATCCGTAAGTGTTTGATTGATTGTTATTGAAAAAAATTAAGATTTTATTAATTATAATTTAAAATTTTCTTTTATTTGATAAAAGGTTTTAATTTATAAGGAACAAAAAATATTGACTCGAAAATTAACTTTGCTAACCGATAAAGAGCATATAGAAATTGATATTAATGCTGACGTAAGTTTCAAATAAATAAATATTTTTTGTATTACAAATAAATTAAAATATGTAATTCTATTTTAATAGTATGTCAAAATTGGTAATAATCCATCACCAACGTTACCAGTAAAATTAGGTGATGCTGTTATATATCGTGATTCCGATGTTGTTGTTATACATTCCGAACAAGAATTTACATTAAATTGTAATTTACAATTTGATTTATGTTGGCTTGAACTTGGTAGTTGGTATTTTGGACAAACAGCTGGTCTTTTGGGTACAATGAATAATGAACCATTTGATGATTTAACAAAATCTAATGGTAAAATAACAACAAATCAAAATGAATTTATAAAATCATGGAGTTTAAATGATTGCCAATATAATGACAATAAAAATTATAATAATAAAAATTTTATTAATAATAATAATAATTATAATGATAATGAAATTATACAATTATGTGATGAATTCTTTAAAAAAGAATATTTTGCAAATTGTTTTGAATTTATTGATCCGACACCATTTTATAATATGTGCATTGATATGGGTTCAAATTCAATAACAACTGTTTTAAAAGATAATCATCCGGCAAAGAAAGGTGCTTGTACAGCTGCATTAGGTTATATTGAAGCATGTGATGCTATGAAAATACCATTAAGAGTACCAGATAAATGTGTACAGTAAGTATACCTATTGTTTATTTGTCGCATAATATTTAATCTTAAACTCCCGAACCAAAAATAGAATACTGTCCATGAATCTTTGAATGGAGCCTGTATTCCTGACAGCTCTAAATATTAAATATAAAGAAAAAAGTATTTTTGTCTAAAGCGCTTCTCAACTCTTCAATGATTTCCACTCGGTTTTCATTTTATACACAATTTCACATAATTTTACCACACAACAATCCTTTATTTTTTAAAATTTAATTGAAAATTTCTTTTGTAAACTATGAATGCAAACTGTTTTTAAAAAAAAAATTTCTAAATTAATATTTCTCGTATTTTTTTTTCCAGTTGTAATTTATCTAATGGTACATATGTAGCTGAAGGAACATTTATTACATTAGAAGCTGATTCATTACCAGATAGTGCTGATATTGTATTTATTGTTGAAGCAAAACCATGTAATCATAATATAACACAATCAAAAAATATTATGACTGTTGTTAGTGCATTAGATAAAGAATTAAATGATGTTAAAATGAAAAATAATCGTTATTCTGTAATTGCATTTGGTGGTCGTTCACCATTTGATAAACCACGTAATATTGTACATAAAAATAAAGTTTTTACATCAGATATAAATTTATTAAAGAATTATTTTGATCATATTAATACTGATAATGGTTCAAATAATGATATATTTGGTGCAATATCAATTGCATCAAAATCAATATTTAGACCTGGTGTATCAAAAATATTTATATTATTACCATGTTCATCATGTTCAGCTAAAGATATGAAGGTAAGATAATTAAATTGAATTTGATTTTTGATTGTAAATTTATTTAAAGATTATTATATTTTTTTTCCCGGCATTGCCGAATTTATATGCATTGAATATTGTTAAAATTGTAAAAATTTTTACGGTCCGGTCAAATATATTCACAAACTATTGAAGATTTTAAAGATGAAATTTTCGTATTTTCATAATTAAAATGCTTCTTTAAAATTAAATGCGGTTTCAATCCGAAAATCTTACTTTATTAAGAATATATTTTGTTGAACAATGTCATTCTCTTTTTATATTGGTAAAATTATTGTGCGCCTATCGGCAGGCAATATTATACTTATTTAAAATCAAGCCGAATAATCTATTCTAAGATGATTTTTTTTAAAAGAGACTAAGAAGTATTTCATGGGAATATCTTTCAAGAATTATATTTTCTCAAAAATTAATTTGGTTTTTGTAATATTTTTAAAATATTTTTTTTGCTAAAGCAATTTTGCGTTCTTACTTATTGTAAGAATTGCAGTAAAATAAGGGACAACTAATGTAATTTTTCAAATTAAGTTAATTTTCAATTTTAATAAATTGTAAGGTCGTTCAAATTCCAAATTATATTTAAATTTCAAACTCATTTCATTACAATAATATTAAATGTTATTTTAATGTTGTTCTAATATCATAAAGGAAATCCTTACAAATTCCAATAATGATTATTATATAATTTCAATTACAATTAAATAAATTGATTTTTATTAAAAATTTTTTCCATTCTATATAAAATATTTTTTTCTTTTTCTCTTTTCATTTAATTTTATAATTTTATATATATATAAATAGTTTGATTATGCATCTGTATTACAATTATTACAAGAAGATGGAATACAATTACATATATTAATGGATCAAGAATTTACATTTGAAAAACATCGTTTAAATCGTGTATTCTTTGGTTTAGATCGTACATTAGCATATTCGAAACGTGACAATAAAAAATTTACTGGTGATGAAGAATTACGTACACATGTACGTTTAACAAAAGCTGGTCTTGGTACATGTACTGCATTGGCAATTGAATCAAATGGTTCTGTATTTACAGCTAAAAAATTAAAACCAGAAAAAACAAATCCAGTTAAAAAAATCTCATCTGTATTTGCGAAACGTGTCGTTAAAACCGCTATACAAAAAACATGTCAAATATGTGAATGTACTGGACATAATACTGGTATTGCATATATGACATGTACATCATGTGATTATGGTATTAGCGATTCAATAGCATACGATGATTTAGATTTCTTTGGTAATGATTTTAATTTTGATTGGGATGATGATATGGATGATAGTGATTTAGAGGATGTATTTACCGATGATGATACTGAGGATATTGATGATGATGATAAAAAAAGAAGAAAATAAATAGAAAGAGGGATAAAAAATTTAATAGATTTTTTTTTTTTTTTTAATTTTATTATTAATTTAGGTGAAACGACAACAAAAAAAAAACCAATATATTAGACGAATATTTAGAAATATATATATATATATACATATATATATATATATATATTATAATATATAATATATTATATACTTATAAGGTAAACATAAGTATATAAGCAAAATATTATATAAGAAGACAAAAAAAAATTCGATTACAAAAATAATTTTCAAAAAATATTATGTATGAATGTATATAAGAAAATAGGGATTTTGTAAATGTTTTAACAAAAAAATTAAAATTTAATTATATTATATAATAATAAAATATGTAAAAAATTAAAAAAAACAAAAAAATTATAGATATATAATAATGAGGATAATAATAATTATAATTAAAAAAAACCTTAGATTTTAAAAAAACCAAAAAAAAAAAAAGACAAAATAAGTGAAAAAATAAAAAAATTTTAAAATTTGTTTTTAATAATAATTTGGTTTTAATAAGAATTTGGTTAAATTTAAAGCCCAAGTCCAACTCATTCAATGAACTTTATTCAATAAATAGAGGAAATTACAATAATTACAGTGACTGAGACCGAGAGGCCCTTACTATCATCATTTCTTTAAACTTTTATACCATTGTAGGGTGGAAGTATGGGAGCCGATGAATAGTCATAGCAGAGCTGAATAAATTACTTAAAAATTGAAAAATTTTGAACCATTTTATTGTTGATTCCATTGGAGGCTTCTTTTTAAATGAAAACGAGGAACGTGTGTTCTATGACTTAATTGAATTTAACAAACTTTTAAGGTATTTGATAAAAAAATCTACTGTCTTTGAAAATAAAATTTCGAGCATCTTGTCGAAAATATAGAGAAGATTCCCTTTTAAAAAGTAGGTATTTGAAATATTACATGACAGAATATAACAGATTTCATGTAAGTTAAATATGCGTACATGCGATTAATTTCAACTAACTAAAGCAAAATTTTATGAAAATTATGAGCCCACTATAGGATTTTATAATTTGAGAAGCTTTTATTACTGAGTAATATTAAATATTATGTGGAAACAGAATAGTGATCCTAAAGCTGGTACTATAGTTTTTTTTTTGTTTATTTAAAAATTTAAGATTTTTAGGGAGAACCAAAATATTTACAGTAAAACCATTTTATATATGGAATTGAAAATTTTTCTGAGAAAACAAATTTGAGAAAAAAGATATAAAAGGTCGAAGATGTTCAAAATTTTAATTGATTATAATTAAAAAAATAATAATAATTAAATAAAATATTCAAAATTTTAGTTGAAAAATTATTTTTTATAAAAAATCTAAAAATTAGGACGAATTAAATTAAAAAAACCTCCGAATAACCAAGTTTTATAACATTGACACAAGTACATTATGATTGTTTTATAAATACCAATCGCAATTAATTTTCAATTTGAATCGTATTGCACCATTTTTTTCGTAATACAGTCAAATTTCAATATCTTGCACTCTCTATAAGATAAATTTTTTTTTAACTACAATTTTTTACTTTAACCAATTATTATTTTCTTTCTATTTTAAAAAAATTATTTAGTTTTTCTAACTAACTCGTCTTTTTCTCTATCTCAAATTTTATTCCGGCATTTATAGAGTTCGAGGCATAAATGTTCCACTGTACACACATTCTAACGCACAGAAAATAATTGATATAGTCTACTCATGTAATTTCATGAAACTTCAATTTATTCGAAAATAAAATCCCATTTGATTCTTTTCAATTTATTTTATGCATATATAAATATCTTCATATATACCCTACTTAATATCATCAGAAATAAAATAATGGACGTCTAGAATAAATTGAATAAGAAATCTATAAAATAAACGTGAAATATAATCTGGTTTTGAGTAAAAGTAATTATTTTCTTGGAAATTTATAAATTTATATATAGCTATGTATTAAATTACAATATAAGGAATGGAAAATTCTTGGTATATTAAAATTCAATTATTGTATATACATTCAGTTTAGATTTATAGGCGAATTGATAGTTGGTATACATGAATGACATTGCTTTAATAAATATTTTATTTAAAAATTTTTATTTATAAATATTTTTCTCATAACTCCCATAATTATTTTATATAATACGTAGCTACTTATTATATTTGTATAAATAAATACAAATTCATTCTAAAATTCAAAATTATTCATTAAAAAGAGTAAATATAAAAAATATTAAATATTTGTAAATGAGTGATGCATAAAGCGTAAAATTAAAAATTAAATAGAAAAAAATTTCTTTAAATAGAAAAAATTTAATTTTTCGCGAAAATATTAGAAGCAGTAGCTAGCTACTGTATAAAAAAAAATTTGTCTAAATATGAAAAATTATTTATAGATTTCAATAAAAATCTAAATGATATTTTTATTTTTCCATTCACTGATGATATTTTCATCAAAAGAAAAGCGTGTACTCGTAGAATCTTTTCCACGCATTAAAATTGAGAAAAATTTTTGTTCTTGTACTGAATATGACATTTAATTTCCTGATACCATAAATTAACTGAAAAAAAAAAAACGTACTATTAAAATTTTTGTGTATTTTTTGTGTATTTTAGAGGGTTGCCATCAGTAATATATCACTCATGTTGTAAAGTCACATTCCTAGTAATTTAGAGTAGAATAAACTAAAAGCAACGTACGGTAAATCAAAATTATTATTAAGTTTTTTAGGTTTTCCCATGCTAATGTATGTACATAAATGTATTTATCTACCCGTTACGATGCGTATAGAATGCTGATGAGGCCAAGTCTTTATATAACAGCAAATAGATAATATCTATAAGATAAGTAGGCAGTAATTTACTCCTACTTTCTTGTTGAGAAAATATGAAAAAATTGCTGAATATTATCAAATTTAAATATTTCAAATATGTTAAAAATTGGTAAACTTTTTCAAAAATTTTCTATAAATTGCGTTAATAAAGAAATTGGAAAACTCATACAATACAAAATGATGAAAAAATCAGCAGTCTATCTTTCGATTTAAAACAGATAGCTTAAATTTAAATTTCCATTTCCACAAAAGTTTGAATTAAGCCAAATTTTTCACTTTTATTATTTTAAATACGAGCAATAGTAAATTCCATCTGCATATTATTATATAGCAATAAAAATATTTAAAATAAGATTTTTACGGTAATAATTATAATGGTTTATTTTTATGCATTTTTTTTTGTATGAAATATTAATATTAATTTCTTCAACAATTAAGAAAAAAATTTAAACGTTTTCAATTTTCATATTCATGAATTTTTATTTTTCTCAAAAAAAAATCTTAATATTTGCAATATACCTAGTTTATACATAATACATAATTTGTCCTCTTTCAAGTATAAAAGCAATTTGTTCTTCGTTCTTAATTTTCATTTTTTCATTTTAAACTCATATCATTCAAAACAATTTTTGACTTGTTGCAAAAATTTAAGTTGTCCTAGTCACCATCCATATATAAAATGTACATAATATTCTTTTTTACAAATGATTTTTGATATATCTATAATAATATATTTAAATAAATAGTGAATAATACAAAGAGATGTACATAGATAAATTTAACGAGAAATGGATCAAAGAGAAATATAAATAAGAATGAAATTTATATATACGAGTACTTAAATATATACAAAATATACAAAAAACCATGACTTTATAATAATGTATTATAATATGTTTGTATACATTGTATATACACATCATGTGTCTATGGTGTATATAAAATATTAATAAAGTTGGGTCAAACCAATGGTTTGTATTGTAGCACTTTTCCCTTCAACAAGCGAAAATTCTGATTTTAAATACAGTCTATGTATACCTATCACTTTATTAAAATTATTTTCATTCATATACAAAACTATTTCTAGGATTGCATATATTTAGGATGAGTTAACATAAAGCTCGATTTTAAGGGTTAATTGTGTGAGTTAAGAAAAATAATTATATTAAATTTCAAGCTTCTACATGCTGGGGTCTTGAAGAAAAACGACATCAAAAATTTGGAAAAAACGGACTTTAGATAACGATAAATTTGAACCGCCATTTTATTTTTCTAAAGTTTAACTATAGTATACCGCGATAGGGGAAGCAAGCCGCTACCTTTCTGCGTTTACAAAATTTCAATAATGCTTATGGTTTCATTGTAACAAATAGTTAAAAAAGGCCATTTTTAGGGTTTTGAGGGGGTATAACTTCTAGAGGAGGGGAGATAAATAAAAATAGACGGACGGACGGACGGACAGAGTGAAACTAATAAGCACTTTTTTTCAAAAAATTTTTGGAAAAGTGCTAAAAAGGAATAAGTTTAATACGTACAAACATAAAAGATCAAAAAAGAGAAGGAAAATATAAAAGCAATATCATTTTCTTCCATATGCATACACAGTAACATACACAACATAATCACCATATATACACAATTAGTAATGGAAGGATAAAGTTTTCAAGGAAAGAATGATTTTCTTGAATTTTTCTTTTTCCCTTTTTTGATATTCCATATATGTATGTATGTATAGTTGTATATGTATGAAAATATAAAAGCATTTCGATTTTATTTATTTTCCTTTTGTACTTTTTCTTTATTTGTGTATAAAGTAAAAGAGAATTTTTGTAAAAGAGGATGGCAAGAGAAAAATCAGTCAACACAAATTTTATTGAGCGTTGTTATTTTTTTTCCCTCTCATCTTTTTCCCATATTAACTTTTTTACCATATTTTTGCCCATTTACATAATGTTATATTTAGTTAATGTGATGGGGGGGGGGGGGGAGGAGTGGAAAGAGCATCATAATTTTGGTAATTATAGGGTATTTACATTTTACCATATTATATAGAATATAATATAGGAAAACATTCAATTCATTTTTAAATTTTATAGGGCATGAATCCGAAATGAATTTATTTCGAATTTAACACATAAAATTTTTCGATTATAAATAAGGCAAATTTATAATTGAGTAGATTTTATATTCTGGTTTTAAAATTCCGGGTAAAAAGTCAAGACTTAATTGTTCCAAATTTAAAAAGGCAGTGCAAAGTTCTACACCGTCGTTTTAAATTTGGAAATCATAACAATTATTGATTTACAGTTTTGCTCTCTTCTTATACAGTGAACTAATTTCTACAATCTACAATGGTTAATGAAAATATTTAATTGACAAGTAGATAATGATTAATGGTACTGATATAGAAAACAAGACATAAACTACAAATTAATTTTTTTTAGAATTTTGATTAAAATTCTCTCTTATCTTGCCATCTCAATACGACACACGAATCTTTAATGTTATTTAAACATATGAGAACTTTTAATATTATTGAATTTCTTAGTGTGAGAGAATGTACAATT